CCGGGTAACTCCGCCGCCGCCGCCGCGGTCCCGCCGTCCCGCCCTGTAACTCCCTTCGCCCTGGACACCGTGCCCGAGACCCCGGTGCCCGGCCGGTGGCCCCTGCGCCGTCCCCCCGCCCCCGGTGGACGCAGCCCTCCACCCAGGCTGCACTGGAGCTCCGGCACCCCGTCCCTTCCAGGCGCCACCCCGCCGGTGCCCACAGCCCCCACGGCCGCTGGGTGGGGAGACCGCGCCCCGGGGACTTCGCTGGCTCCTCCCGCGCCTCGCGGACCCCGGACCCCGGGGAGCGGGTGGCGGGCGGCGGGGTGAGGCGGTTCTGGCCCCGCCCGGACACCGAGTCCCCTGCGCCCAGGTTCCTCGTGCTTTCCCTCCTCCCTGAACTGGTCCCGGAGTCCCTGCCACTTAGTGTAACGATGGCTCCCGTCCCCTTGAAATCAAGGCAGAGGCGAGGACCCCTCTGCCCGTGAAGTTTGTGTCTGACTCGAAGTGTCTTCATCGGCGTGGTTTTCATGCCATAGCCCCGACCGGGGTGACTGTGTGGCCGGGTGATCTCCCAGCCGGGGAGCTCGGGCAGGAGTGGGATCTCGGCATCTCCAGGCTGATAAGGGGCTTTCCTATCGGCACTGATCAATAAGCACGTTTCTAGCCTCCAGGATGGGCAAGTCACCGGGTTCTGAAATGCCTCCGTCTTGCTGGGAAAACATGCCTCACATGCAGAAAAGAGTTACATACGGGGCAAGCAGAACAGCACAGCGCATGGAGTTGGTCATTGGACTGATAGACGAACCGGTAACCCCCGGGAATGCAGGAGGCAAGGGAGCCCCCCTGGGTCCTGAGGGCAGTGGTTCTCAACCTTCCTAATGCCGCGACCCTTTAATACAATTCCTCATGTTGTGGTGACCTCCAATTTCATTGTTACAAATTGAACATAATTAAAGCATAGTGATTAATCACAAAAACAATATGTAATTATTTTTTTTTAAAATCTTTATTGTTCAGATTATTACATTTGTTCCTCTTTTTTCCCCCCATAACTCCCCTCCTTCCAGCTCCCACCCCACCCTCCACCCTCACTCCCCACCCACTGTGTTCATCCATAGGTGCA